CGCAGACACACAACTGTATATTTTATTCCCTCAAGATAATGTCAAAAAGAAAAAAGGAAGAAAGAAATGTATAATCAGTGAGTCAGAATATGAACCCAGGGGCGGGTTTTGATACCCTGTGGCACACCTGCTTTCTAAGTATGCGCCTGCCCCTTACTGCAACAAAGTTTAAGCAGAAGAAGCTTGGCATTGAAGGCGGCCGGTGGCAATCTCTGTCCTTTGGCACATGCCCTCCTGTTACTCTCATGACTTCTATTTTCAGAAAAGATTCTGGAAAGAGTGGTCTGAAATGCCATCCTTATTCTTTCTATTCCCATTGACTCCCATGCCTTCCCACCCTCCAACGGTCTTGTAGCCCCACGAAACAGCGAGACTTGTTTTTCCAGCTCTCAAAGAAGCTTTCCTTTTTCTGCCATACGATGGTACTTGGAGGTTTGGACCCACCTTTCCCTTGCGTCTGTGGCTCTCCTGCACTTCTTTAGGTTTTCATTGGCTGTGACCCAACCTGCTCTCTAGGGTTCTATGGCTTTTCCGAGATACATGGTTCTTTCTTCCCATTCTGATATGGAGTCTCTCATTCTACGCATTCTCTGGATTATCTTGTCCAAACTGAGACTTCTACTATTTATATGCTGGTGAGTCCCAATGTTGTATCTTTATTCTAGATTTTTCTCTCAATCCCTACTGCCTACTACATAATGACTATTTCCACTTAGATGCCTCACGTGTCTGTCAATCCAAATATTTTACGACTGAACCAATGCACACATTTTTTCCGACTGTGTTCTCTCTATTGCTGTCATTTAGTCAGTCATTTAAGTGAGGCACTCCAGCATTTCCCTGGCATGGGCTCATCTCCATTTTCTACATTCTGTCTTCCTCCTCTTCCCCCTTCCCTCAGCTCCTCTTCTCATCTCTTGTACTTCCTTCATATCTGCCTAGTTCTCTTTCTTTCATTTCTTCTTGTTTCTTTTCTAGTAGAAAATGCTGTGCTATCCAACTTCCCTTCCACCTCCAGTCCTTGTCCCACCCTAACTCCTTTGCAAAACAGCAGCAGCAAAAGCAAATACTTTAACAGTCTACTACTCTGTGGGTTTTATTCTTGAAATGCCTATTTGCATTTTTCTTTTTTTTGTGACTTTGGGCAAAGCACTGAAGCTCCATTTGCCTTGGTTTCTGCTTCTTTAAAATGGGTATAATAATAGCACTTAAGACAGCAGGGTGGCTGTGAGAATGCCGAGGGAGCACCTGGCATGCAGTCGGCATGATGTGAGTAGAAGCTTTGTACAGATTTTTTAGCTGTCATGGTTTTTATTACTGCTCTATTATCCCTCTCATTATTCACTACTAGAGATTTTCATTTCATATTAATCTATGAAGTAATATGGAAGGTGGTTACTCTTTTGAAAAAATTAAGCAAGTTTTTCATATTTTCACAGATATAATTTTATCAATTAAAAGCTGGGCTTGGTTTTCCAGGAAGGAGAAAAGATGTCTGTGGAGATGGTAGGGGTGGGAGAGAAACAGCCCCCATAGTTCTGTCCATGCTGTGCTGCTGTGGCATGGCTCTGGAATAGTTAAGAATTTTTGTGGCTTGGTCAGTGAAGTATTGGCAGCTTGAAATTATCAGTGATGTGAGGATTTGGTAGCTTGACATTGTCAACTATGTGAAAATTTGCAAATTGATAAATGCTACAAATCAGGGCTCTTCCAATCAGCATTTCACTATTTTTGCTTAAGATGGATCTAGGTATGAAATTTGAGGTAATGACAAACTGGGATACTGCAGATTTTAATACATCAAGGGTATAAATCGTGCCTGCAAGGTTTAACCACTATGAATTATGAATCATTACCTGTAATCTGGGTGTTAGTTCCAATCATTCAATACCAGAGGAGGTTCCTTTACATATTTCTATGTGTTATTGAGTGATTATTGGCCAAATTAAGTTTTTGACCCATATTAAAAAAAGTAAAAGAAAAATATATTTCTTCAACAAAAGGGAAATATATATTTTCAAAGAAAAAACTTTCCCCCAATTTTCATAGAAGTTAGGACAAATCCAGATTTTTGGAATAATTCTTCACTTTTGCCCACAACATTCAAACTGAAAAAAATAGCGGGAGAAAATACCTTCTTAGGCTCTAAATATTTCAGATGATAACGAGTTACAATTCCCCTATTGCAAAACTGTCTCATAACATGCTCAACTGGTTGTTTGCTTTTTTTTTTTTCACTTAGCTAGTGAAAAAGCCACATGTAAGACCTTTTTGAAACTGACTAGTTCTCTGGTTCCACTTCCTGTTGTGAGAAGTAAAATGTATCTGAGACCAAATGAAGTTCTCAAAGATTGTTTTCATTCTCTCATAGAAACCAAGCAAGCTCATATCAATTGAAACTGAAACTCCCTGATATTTCTATAATATGCAGTCTGTCCCTGGGCAGGGAAAACGGTCTTAACAGTTAATGATTTCTTTGAGGAGAAGAAACAGGATTTACTCACTGATCAAGGTCCTCCCCCTCCTCAAAAGACCTTTCTCTGATTTGGGAGCTCGCTAAGCTTGAGGTGTTGTCCTTCTCACCCCATCCTAGGAACAAGAACCTGGCGCAGACCCAGGGCTGGTCCTAGGTGAAAATGGAGACAAAACTCACTGTGATTTGGGGCTTTCCCTGGAAGCAGCTACAGTGTTTCTCCATGAAACTGCAGAGTCCCTGGGCCCACTGGACTCGTGGGGACTGGGTGGAGGAAACAGACTCCCTGGTGCCCGGGAGGAGCCTTAGCATGAGCGTTGCCTGCCGCCCACCTGTGCCGGTCTCCCAGCTGTCTTCCTCTAGGGACCTGCTCTCTCTTGTTCTTTTAAAAGCTGCCCTTTCTGATTGAACTAATGCAATTTCACCTTCTTCGGGGCCGAGCATTCTAGGAATGACTGACTACAATTCCCTTTTCTCCCTACTCCCTTGGTTCTGAATTTGGGTTAAGTACTCTTTGGGGAGTCCTGGACCCCAGATTTCCCAAATTTTACCCACACTCTAGATTCACTTCCTCCTGGCCTTGCTTTTAGATCTGGCCCTCACTCAGCTCCAGTTAAGCCACTCAAAAGTCCTATGTATTTGGACAGAGATACTTTGTCAATAAGTATTACTTGGGTTTTATTGATCTCGGATAATTGGCACATCAGAAAAGACCTCAGGAGACTAGCATTTGTGGAAAAGGTAGGAATTTTAAACCAAGAGGCAGGTCAGCGTGCAGACATTTGTGGAGCCTCCATGATAACATGCCTGGATTTCAGTAACATGCTGTGATGGCGACATGTCTATCTTTGGTTTACATTGGAGGCCGTTACTGCCTTTGTCTTTATGGATGATTAATTTCTTTGTGGATAATTTTTTTCTAATAATCATTAAAAAAAATTCAGTGTGGCATTTCTCAAGATCTGTTTTCTCCAGGAAATGTCACGTAAGCACTTTAGCTTCATTATCACTACTGAGGCGAACACAAGATATCCTTATCACAAAAATAATTGTTGTGAATTTTTTTATTTATTAGATATGAAAAGTTTATTTATCTGAATGATATACGTGTATTCTGTACAGTCATATAAGGTAATGCTGTTTAGTTCTCAGAGGATCTTCACATACACATAAATTCTTTATGAGACCTATAGGGTTAGAATTATTATAGATGTTTTTAGAATTATTAGAATTATTATAGATAATTTTAAAATTATTATAGATGTTTTATTTTTACCAATGAAGAAACAAATTCAAAGATTGACTTCTTGGGTCACACAGCTACTAATGATGCCAGCCGTGAATTAATTCTGGGACTCTGGATTTAAAAATCCTATCCTATTTCCACTCTATCATATTCCCTCTTTGAGTATATAGTAGAACAGTATACACTAGCTATTAGATCAATAATCAGATATCTAGCAGACCACAAGCCGGGCATATCTAGAATCCTGACGTCATAAAATGCCGTTATAAGATTACACACCACTTTTGAGAATTACTTTTCAACTGTATATATATTTTTTGAATTCTCTACATGTTAATTTAAAAGATTGTCATATAAACCCGAGTAAATTCAGTTTTGGTATTGAAGGAAACAGGATGCTTCTTTAAGCAAATATTTCCTCTCTTTCTCTCATGCACACACACCTTCAAGCATGTGAAAGCATTTTGGGATTTATTTCCCATTTTTGCTGGTCATCTGCTTTTACATGTGTTTAAAATGTATTGCAAATAAAATGTGCATTTCAGATAGATTGTCTTATGTCTGATGTGACTATTTAAAAAGCTAGTACAGAACGGTAGGTGGTAACTCATTTATCTTCCATAAAACATGTATGAAATATTCAGAGATACTTAAAAACAGAATACAAATTTAAATTTGCCTATAAATAAGAATGTCCCGATCAGGAGGGTTGATAGTTACTGAGATCTCACTAAAAGAGAATGTGGAATTTCTTCTTCTGGGGTATTTAATTCACGTGGTTTAGGTGTACCTGTGGCAGCAGGACCATGAATTTAATATCCCAAAGGAACCTGTAATATTTTTAGATGACAATAGTTATCTTTGAGGTTTACTTAAATAATCGTTGTTATTGAGAAATCGTAAGAATAGAAGCAGGATATATTTTTCCTTCTCTCACCAAAATGTAAAAGGGGAACTATTGTATGATTTTTGAAAACTTCTGTGAACATCGTGCTGTCATCCCCAGAGTGGCAGTGAACGAGCAGCCTGTGGGTGGGAACAGGAAACATTAGTGATAAATGCTCTGTGACTTTTTTTTTTCAGGTTCAGCTCAATGTATATTGATTCTAATTAGCACATTCTGTGCCTCAGCTCTTAGCTCCCCCTTAGCTCTGCCTGGAGAGTTTTTTTTTTAGATTCCATCCTGCTCATAAACACTGCCACCTCCTCCCTCCTTCTCTCTTTACAAATGTTACAACACAATCCGAAATTTCCTCTTTTCATTCCTTCCTGCGTTTCCAGCAGGTTCCTTTGCGTCAGAAGCCGAGGAAGAAAACTCAAGGTAATTAGATCTCTTTTGTTTTTTATCCCCTTTGGCGTGAGTGTGGCTTTGCTCCTGGATGCTTGCCTTGGGATCAGATTTTTGTCTGTCTTACTGCTAAGACAAGTGAGGAGGTGGGGGGCAGATTAATTGTGGTTATTTTTGAATCGATTTTTAAGAAATGCTGATACGCTGTTCATGGGGATTAATCCCCTCGTGGTGTGGTGTGTCCATAGAGCTTAGAAAAGCTGGCACTGGGTAGCTGTGTTTTTAGGTGGGCATTAACCCTTCAACGTCTGTCGCCTAACTACTGTTGTTAGTGAAAGAGGCTGGCTTACTGCAGTGATGTGCCTGCCAGCCTCAGGATTTTAATTTCTTCAATTTACTCCTGGTGAATGATATTCTTAGACTTAGATGTTCTTAATACTTGCACATTAGCCTCACTGTTTCTTTGGTTATATTTTAAACCTTCCAAGCTTCCAATGAATTTTTTAAAGACAAAACAGACACAGCTTCCCTCTCCTTTGCATTAACTTTGCATAAATCTTAATGAAAATAAGACTCCCCAAAGGTAAACAATTAAAAGTCTCCCGTCACTGCCTCCTGCTTCAGGGTAAGGTTTTACCAGGGCTTCTTGTAATCGTTGCAGGTTTTTTCACGATGAGTCGGAGGAGGATATCATGTAAAGATCTGGGACACGCGGACTGCCAAGGATGGCTATATAAGAAAAAGGAAAAAGGAAGTTTCCTAAGCAACAAATGGAAAAAGTTCTGGGTGGTACTGAAGGGGTCGTCGCTGTACTGGTATAGCAATCAAATGGTGAGTCGCTTTATCCCTACTGTTCCCGGCCACTTTGAAAAAGGGTGCGTGAAGGATCACAGATCAGGGGACCCGACCCATATGGGAAAGTTAATTTTGATTTCTGGGACTTGGAACAGAGCTAATAAACAAATAAGTTATAGAAACCCTTTCTGGTCCAGTAGGTATGTAGGTTATTCTATTGTGTTTCAGAGGGTAGGAAACCGGCCTGCAAACTGGTCTGGGGGAGCCGGGGGCTGTGGAAACTGACATCCTTGTTGAAGGAGGCTTTCAGGGTCTGTTAACCTCCCTAGAGGTTCTAACGGTTTCAGGATTTATGTGGACAGCACTCCACATGGGAACTTTCCATTGTTAAGGGAATCAGCTTTATACCTGATCAAAGATGTCAGTGGATCCAGCTCAGTGAAGCTGTTCCCATTCCTCCTCTGCTCCTTCCTGTGGTCTGACTTTGTCTGTTAGGTGGGTGGGTTTGCAGTCGCTCACCTGCGTCCTGGCTCTGTGTTGGGGATTCTTGTCTCTTATTCTTCAGTGTGTTCCGTGATGACATTGAGCTACTTGTGTGTGGACAACACTTGCTAGGACAGTTACCTCGTTTATCCTGTAATGGACAGGCCACTGATGTGGTCTGCTTCCCAGGCTAGCTTCCTATTGAAAATGGCTGGAAATACAGTTCTTGCTAGAAGGTGTGCTGGTTTTTCATGGCCTGAAGCATATTGAAAACGATGATGTTGAATGTTGAGCGAGCAGAGACTTTGCTCACTAGTAACCCCGCTGGAGTTGATTGTTGAACTCAGGACAGTTTGAGTTTCTTTGTGGTATAGTGAGGATCGCAATGGATAGCCTTTAATCAGTTAAGGAAAAGTAAGTTAGGAATCACCTATAAGCCAGAGTAATTCTTTTTCTGACGCACTATTCTTTGGAAATGACTTGTCTATGGCCACACTCAAGCCTCAGAGCTATGGTGCCTGCAACTTTATAAATGCAAGGTAAGAATTGCATATTGTTTGTGAGTCAAATTTTTAGTTGATAAATTTACATTCAGTGTCTAGTAATAAAAAATTTGTGTTACCCACATGCCCCTGGGCACCAGCCCCTGTCTGGTAAAGACTTGCTTAAGCTGTATTGATATCCAGCCCCAGTGACTGGGAATAAACACACTCCCCTGTGGCCTCCTCTCTGCTCCCCTGTTCCAAGCTCATTTCAGGTTCACACCATTCAAAACATGGTACAAAGTTCCTCATCGAGTTTCAAAACCATATATTTTATTTTTCCCCAAGTATTTGCTGAGTTTCAACAACTTTATCAAAGTTTTAGGGGATTCACAGGATATTCACCTGGCAAGGTGTGAAGGCTTCCACTCTCTACTTTGTTCTCTCTTCCATTCTTTCTTCTCCTCACTTGGATAGTTAGTTCTTCATCTCATCTAACATGAATAGTTTTACTCAAATTAAGGCAACCTGGGGCAATGGCCTTGCCTTCTATTATAAGGCAATTTTCCTAAACAAGTATAGCTTCCTCCTTAAGAGGAATTCACGTTAACAAAAATTCCTCTTTCTTGTTTCGTATTATTTTAGGCCCTTACTTTTGGTGAGGTGTGGCTAATGAGAGTCATCTGCACCTTTTTAAAATGAGAGGACTCGCTGATTGGCCTTTTCATGGCTC